AGCAGACCACTTAACATCTCATCTTTCTTCAGGTGGCCTTTCACTATCAGAAGCTGCAAAGCTAAAAACCACATTTCCCAGGTTCCCTGAAGCCTGAATAACATATATAATTTAGGTTTTGCAGAACGTAAGCATCCATGTGACATTTGAGAGGTGGAATGTGAAGGCCACAATCTAGTAGCCACATTAAAAGAGATGAATGAAATTCCATTTAACCTAATATATCTCAAATAGTCTCATTTCAACAAGTAATCAGTATAAAAATTATTAATAATCTGTTTTGTGCTCTAAAAAGCCAAATAGAAATATTTTAGGCTCTGGGTGTCACATACAGTTTCTATGGCATAGTCTTCTTTATTTTTGCTTTTGTTTTTAAACACATTTTTTTTAATGGCAAAGCTCTTGGGCTGTACAGATACAGGCCACCTCAGGCTGTAGTTTACAACTTCAGCTGCAGTGTGACACATTGGCCCTTCCTATGATTCTCTGACTTCTGTGCTAAATCCTTCCTGCCTAGAGTAGCAGAGGAGATTCTCTTCTGTGTAATGGAACTTGGCTAAATCTACACAGAACATTGTTCTCCCCGTTGTACAGACAAAGACACTGCAGTCTAGAGAGTTTGAGCAACTTTTTCAGGTCAAATAGCTGGCAAGTGACAGAACTAGAATAAATACTACTATCTGCCCAACTCCAAAGTTCATGTTTTTAGACACTGCATCATACATTCTCCATTAGCAAGGTTTTCTTTAGCTTGGTTAATGAACCTTTACTGATCCATTCGTTTAGCTTACAAATATTTATTAAATGAATATTTGTGCAACATACAAATAATATGTGTAACATATAATACAAATAATAGAGACATTGTCCCTGTCCCACATTTAAGCTCTTTTTTGAAAAGGCTCAAACGTCTTACCAATTTAATTTCTGAGATACAAAATGAAGTGGAAAACTGACAATTATTTGCTTACTTCAATCAATGTAGATGGCAAATCAGATAATTCAGGATTGATCCAGTTAACCCCAAACTGGCAGAGGTACAAACATTTTATATTCTCACTCTATTTCTAATTTAAGATCTTTTATTAGCTTTAGACATAATAAAAAGGTACTAAAATAGGTACAGATCAGACAGTAACAGCCTACATTTTAACAAAGCAGTGATTCCTAGTTAGGCTAGTATATTAGTACATTTTCTTTCAGCACATTTATTTACTTGTGTGATTATTCACTCTATAAAAATTTACACACAATTTTTGTTGTTGTTGGAAGTAGCCCTCCAGACCTCTCTGGCTTGGTTAATATACTATAAGTGGATCACTTATTATTCCTCTCTACAAAATTTAATAAAGTCATATTTTAAATTGATTTCTTTTTGGACCAGCTCTCCATTACCAAGCCTTCCTGGAACTTCAATTAAAATGCAAGCTAGATATTTCTGACGTTCCTCACTTAAAATCCCCAAATAAACTTCTTTTCTATCAATACCTCTTAATTGGGCAGTTGGTCTGGACTGGATCATTTCCTCTGGGACACTAGATTATCTTGTGCTCATCTATATAAGCCCAGTCTTGCTTAAAACAGTGTTTTTCATATAGTAAAATTCCTAATAAATATGCATAAATAAAATATCTTTAAAGGAAACCAAGAAGCCTAGGATTCTTTTGTCATTTTTATTTTTCTTTTCAATTCATGTGGCAAATGATATTATTTTCAGTATGCACTGTAATTTCCACTGTAACAGCTAGGTATGCTGTCAAATTGGTTCCAAAGAGTTTGGGTTTGGGAGCACCGCTCATCTCAGGGAAGGTTACAAATACTTTTGGATTGAGAATGGAGAACTTGAAGCATAATTTCATTAACTTTAGGGAAGTTTTTATAGTATTTATAGATAATGAATCTAAAAAGAATAATCTTTTTATGATACTGTAAATACTAGGTCAAAACTTTATTTTCCTTTAATTAGAAAAAAACAGGAAGTGACAATACTAGGAGGAAAAAAAAGCAACCATTCTTTGGAGGCTTAAAGGGTAAGTCAAGAAAGTTCTAAATCACTAAATTTTATTATTAAAAGATAGACTTTATTTTATCTAAGCTGTGGAGTCATTTTCATTAGAAATAAAATAAGTATCAGTGATAATTTGATAGGATTGATATATTTCAAAAATTAAATAGTGGAATAAACAGTTGAACTAGATGCCTTTCAGTGTATATACACACACACACACACACACACACACACACATACATGCATTTATGTTTGTATATATGCATATATTTTTAAATTAAATGTTGAGACATTATTATACATGAGATTTATAGAGTAACATATATAGATCTATTTATATATCAATATGGAGAGAGAGAGCTGTACCAATTTAAATCATGCTTTTATTATTCTCATCTACTTTTGCAATGTAAGTGAAGTTTGAAAAAATTCTAGTAGACTGATCAGCCATGAACTTGTTTATATTTCATGCATACTTATTAAACTCACACATTTAAGGAAATATCTTCAGGCTCTTCAGCTTTTTCAATTTTTAGTTTTGAATTGTAGAGTAAAAATGCTTACAAACATTTTGCAATGTCAGTGGACAGTCTCCATGGAAATGGTTGCTTTCTCTCCCATTAATATGTAAGATGCATTGTTGCTTCCTCTTCAGCATTTCTGTCAACATTGACATCTTGTGGACACTGAAAAGGGTATAGAGTTGAGGAAAGAGTTTCCACTACACTAAAAATCTTTTTGGATTAATTTGACTTACTGAGACTTATGATTGAACTTGTTTACTAACTAACATTACATTGTTTTTTAGTTGGTTTAGTTGATTTAAGTTTCTGGGAAACAGAAATGTTCCATAACCTATGCAAATAAGAAGTGTTCAATATCCCCAAAGAATAAAATAGGTACCGTATTTGCCGGCGTATAAGACGACTGGGCGTATAAGACGACCCCCTAACATTTCCACTCAAAATACAAAGTTTGTTATATACTCGCCGTATAAGACTACCCCCTCTTCCGCACACCTTCCACACACCAAATAAAAGGTGAAACAATATCAGATTT